TAGGCTACCCCACCGCCCCCTTATTGTATAAACATGAATGGAATAAATTATAAGCCATAACCTGTATTTGTAGTTGTTGTTGAAGCTGTAGTTGTAGTTGTAGTTGTAGTTGTTGTAGCTGTAGCTGTAGTTGTTGTTGTTGAGGCTCTCCTCACTTTGTTGACATGTCATCGTATCCAAATTACGTACATTGGTGCTCATGATGTTGATCACTGGATTGTTGGGTCCAGACTGCATTGTTTACACACCGCCGTATGGAGTGTGGCGTTCAACAACGAACGAACCAAACTTATTCATGACAGGTGTTTCTTTGACGACACAAATCACTGAAAAGCAGCCATTTCTACCAGAAACATATCTTGGAATTATTTATAACTGGTGTCCAGCAATCTGCAGCCAGTTTATCTACCCTGAAGGGATGCAGCAACATTAATAAACACTGTTCAAAAATCTTTCTACATTGTATTAATGGAGGGGTGGAAGGAATCTCATATCCTATAGGTAGTAAGGCAGTATGGCAGCTTGGCCCGGATAACGTTGCACAGTGTTGGACATGGTATCAGCGTATAAGAGCATCTCAAGCTTTATGCATTCATAACAATGAGAATACTGAAATAGAGGCTGCATACGGAGCAGCTCACCTCAAGGTAATCAGGTAGCCACAGCTAATAAATGATGTGCCTACAGAAGCAGCATGCCACAACATTAACAAACGCTGTTCAAAGATCCTTACAACATTGTATCAATGGAGGGGAGGAATCAACTTCATATCGTACCGGTAGCAAGGCAGTGTGGCCGCTTGCCTCGCTATAATGTTGCACAATGTTGATAACGTCGGACATGGTATCGCTATACACACATATCTTTTATTATATCAACACGATTAACACTACTTGAAAAATACCAACGATGGCTCTTACTGTCTTGATACCTGACGAAATCTCACTCGAGTGCATAAAATCTATCTAATCTATCTATCTATCTATCTATCTATCTATCTATCTATCTATCATTCATTTATTCATTCTCTCCTCCTCCCTCCTCCCTCCTCCGTCCCATCAATCAATCAATCAATCAATCAATCAATCGATTTATCGATCGACCCCAAACCGATCTAGTGGTGGAGGCTGACAAGTGACTGGTGTCGTTACACGGTCAAAAAGGGTGGTGGTGGGTGGGGTGGGGCTAGTGGGTTGGGTTGGGTTGGGCTGGGCTGGGTTGGGTTGGTGTGTGTGTGTGTGTGTGTTGTGATGATGATGATGATATTGTTATTGTTATGCGTGTGTGTGTGTGTGTGTGTGTGCGTGTGTGTGTGTGTGTGTATTGTGTGTGTGTGTGTGTGTGTGTGTGTGTGTTTAAGGCCACCGGGTGTTTCATATTGCTTCTGGGGATTGACACCTCCCCACATTTGGCCCAGGTCAACGTCACTGTCGTCTCTGCCGCATTAGTGGCAGGCAAGTATAACCTTCCTATTACCCACTGCAGACAATTTCATCAGCCGTCAATGTAACACTTATGCACCTTCTTCCTACATTGTAGTAATGGTAGGTGAATAAAACTCATATCATATAGGCTTGGAAGGCTCACTAGCCCTTTGCGCCTGGATGATGTTGTACAGTGTTGATCGTGATATACACAGTATCATAGGTACCGAATCAACAATAAATATATATTGTTTGTCCGATACTGCCGAGCGCGACATCATGAGTGCGTGCGCGCGTTAGCAAATGCATGTCTCTTGTTATAAACCATCATTGGCTCCTACTGCCGGTCGTTACCTGATGGTGTCACCTTTCATCTTAAGAATTAGCTGTTGATTCCCTTTCCGACTTGGAATTGTTCATATTCATATTTTAATCTTATTCTATTCCCTAATTATATAAAATTAGTTCTGAGTACTGTCTCAGCGAGAAATGAATACATATAGTGTTGTCTTCAAGTTTATGGGGGAAAGTCAGGACATAAGGAACCTCCTTACCCACAGGTGTTTTGACGACACAAATCACTGAAAGAAGACGTTACACGTGAACCATTTACCACAGACATATCCTGGAATGATTTATAACTGGTGTCCAGCATCTCTGCAGCCAGTTTATCTACCCTCAGAGAATGCAGCAACATTAATAAACACTGTTCAAAGTCTGTCTACAATGTATGAATGGAAGGGTGGAAGGAATCTCATATCCTATAGGTAGTAAGGCAGTATGGCAGCTTGGCTCTGGATAATGTTGCACAATGTTGGACATGGTATCAGCGGCCACGAATACACCAATAGAATATTATGTCAACACAATCAATACATGGAAAATACGAACGATGCCTGCTACTGTCTTGACAGTTGACACCCGACCAAATATTCTTTGCATCGTTGTTTGTTTGTTTGTTTGTACAACTTTCTGTATGACCCCGCCACGCCACACCACGCCACGCCACGCCACGGCTGCTGGTATAGGTACAATATGTCAAGACTTGAAACACTCTGCTGGGTGCCCAACTCTGTATGGATTCTTGCTCCTGCAATCAACCACTGGTTTGTTGCCCTTGTCTACATGGAGCATCGACATGCTACACCATCTGATAATCAGCATGTTCGAGAGCAACCGTGGACGGAAATCATCTACCTAGGGGTGCTGTAATTCTGTTTTTGTGTTGTGCTGTGCTGTGTTGTACTGTGCTGTACTGTAGTACAGGTTCGACCCAGAACGTACATAATCTGGTACTCAGTTGGCAGCCAAGCAACTGTAAAATCATCTGTGCTCGCTCGTGTGAATGGATAAGGTGTGCTGTGTGTGCTGTACATTCGACGCTCGTGTAGAACGAACAACACCAGTGACCAGGCCACCGTCTAAAACTTGGCCTGACGTTTGGAGAACGGCTCCTTTTCAGATATTTATATGGCGCTTCAGTCAGTTTGCAAACTGGCAGCCAAGCAAACTGACTGAAGCGCCATATAAATATCAAACAGAATAGAGCCGTTCTCCATACTACTCATGACCAGGTGAATCTCATCTCATCTCGCTTCCTACAGAGTGACTTGAACCTAATTGCGAGTTATACGCTTTGGAGCATGCACCTTGTCTCACCATCATCATCACCATCATGCATCATTTCTGACATCTGGGACAATGTATGGTGCCCGCACAAATTAGCCCCTCAGATTGTATCACCTATTTCAGCACGGCTCCCTTAGAGCTGCATAAATCGCTTTACACGCGCATGCTGCATGTCGTTGGATAGCTGGATCCCAGAGCTACACGAAGAATGTTTCCGTTTGTTTTATGCAAATTTATAGCCGAGCAGATCGATGCTCACGCTGTTGATCACTGGATTGTCTGATCCAGACTCGATTATTACAGACCCCCGCCATATAGCTGGGAATATTGCTGAGTGTGGCATAAAACTTAACTCACTCACTGTATTGAAAGAGTGCGCATACACATTCAAATAAAGATGTGACAAACTTCGATGTATCGAACTTTACAGATGTCTCGAAGTAAAAGGTTGGTTCTTTCTTATTAATTATTCATTCATCATTGTGTTTTTATGTATCGAACCTCGAATAGCTCAAAAAGTTGGTGGGGGTAGCCTAGTGGTTGAAGCGTTCGCTCGTCATGCAGTAGGCCGGGTTCGATTCTCCACATGGGTACAATGTGTGAAGCCGATTTCTGGTGTCCCCGCCGTGATATTGCCGGGATATTGCTAAAATCGGCGTAAACACATCTCGCTCACTCACTCACCGGACCGATAGCTCTCGAAGCATTTATGTTGATCCCAACTTCGCCACAACAGTGTTTGACTCTACGCCAAAAGGTTTTGTTCAGAAATATCTATTATGTCAGATGTCTCAGAACAGGTGATCACACCCCTGTCCTGCTGGTGACGCGTACTTCATGCCTCCTTCCATGTCTTTTGCATTAGATCATTGTTCTGGGTGGGGCCAAATAACAATTATGCCCTGGATGTAAATAATCGAGTTAGCCTGCCTTCTGGAATAAAAGGAGACATCTCGTCCACGTGCTTATAATAAGGAAGGCAGAGCCTGATGTCTGGCAGTCATGAGCGCTTATCAATCACGCCTTCCACTTCTATTGGGTACCCGCTGGAGATTGGGGTTAGAATTGATCGTGTAACCCATGCTTGTCGTAAGAGGTAACTATCGGGATCGGGTGGTCGGCCTTGCTGACTGGGTTGACAAATGTCATTGTATCCCAACTGCTCAGATCGATGCTCATGCTGTTGATCATCGGATCGTCTGGTCCAGACTCGATTGTTACAGACCATCATGGCCATATTGCTGGAATATTGCTGAGTGCGGCGTTAAACAACAAACAAACAAAAAACGAACAAAACTTTTGTGAAGGAGAGGGTCACCCAAATGGTAGCTGCATTACCACTTTCACAAATACTTACAATAACAAGAAAGCACAACAAGGATGACAAGAGCTTGTAAACGATATTCAATCACAATAACAGAGACATTTATTTTGGTGGGAATACATTGTTCTGGAAGTGCCCCTGTGCAGTTCCTGCGGCGGTAGATAGTTGGCTACAACGTATATCTTCCCGTCGTGTCCCTTAGCGATACCGACACCCAGTTCCTTTGCTGCTCTTCCATACCATCTGTGTGAAGTGACCTGGAAATAGACAACCATTCATTTCATGGAGCTGGGCATACATTGCCGAGCAAATATCAGAGAATCATTATGCCGCCATATCTGTTGAGTGAAGAAGGTTTTACGCCGTATTTAGTAATATTCCAGCAACATCACGGAGGGGGACACCAGAAATGGGCTTCACACATTGTACCCATGTGGGGAATCGAACCCGGCTGTTGGCGTGACGAGCCAACGCTTTACCCACTAGTCTACCCCACCGTCCCTGTGACCTCTGATGTTTAACCGAGCTGGATTTGAGAACACTATTTCAGCTATACTCACACGCATAAGAAACGCAAGTTTTTATCCAAATAGGAAACAAACTCGGAACCCTAAATTGATATGCGTTTTGGGGCATATTGTGAAGCCTGATGGAGCTATCAATAAGTTTTGTTGCGGTTTGGAAGGTCCGAGTAAAACACATGAAAAGAAAGGAATCACTCAAAACGCACCACACCACAATGAACATGTGGGTATCATGCACACATTTTCGCGGAAATCAAACACGCACGAATTGTCACCACCATTAGTGGGTATAAGTATGTGCACCCAAAATTGGGCCTATCACTCCTTGTTCACCAATGCCATGCTTAACTCAAATTGAGACAAAACAAAGCTATCGGACGTTTGGAAGCTGGAGAATCTGTTCCAAGATGTTGCCCGTCATTTCAACGTAAACATAACCACAATTTACTGCCCGTGATATTGCTGGAATATTGCAAAAGCGGCGTAAGCTAAACTCACTCACTCACACTGGTCAAGCAGACACGAGCCTCACAATTACTGGGGACTAATTACTCATTACTTATTATTGTCGGTTTACAATGACAAACAAATTTCAGTCTGTTCCATGTAAGGATCAGTCACCAGCCTATGATAGTCAGAGATGTATGTCAGTGGAACGAAATAAATCTCGGGCACTTGGTATATTGCAAGCCATTATACCATGACATAGAGCGTTGTGCCTAATATGAATCACTGGTTTATCTGCTCCAGACTTTCGTTATGTGAACACTGCTAACACTGAAACGTACCCGTTCCATTTGAGTAGCCAGCTTTGTTGTAGTCGTATTTGCTGATTTCACTGTACCACATATCACATGCTTCTTTCCCTGCGAATGGAATCAAATAATGAGCAGATCAGAGTGACTGAATAGATTTAAATTGGTTGGTTGGTTGGTTGGTAAGTTAGTTGTTGAACGCCGCACTCAGCAATATTCCAGCTAAATGGCGTCGGTCTGTAAATAATCGTGTCTGGACCAGACAATCCAGTGATCAACAGCATGTGCATCAGTCAACGCAAGTGGGATACGATGGTCAGTAGAGTAGAATAGAATTTATTTGGGCAGATATCTGAAACTGATTATTCTCTGGTATTATATCTAAGCCTTTTTTAACATGGTACTGTTGTACAAAGTGATCTTTGCATACACTTACACTTGCGACAGTGTAGTGCTGAGATTTGTAACTTGCCAATGCCAATCTGACAGAGACCAGCATGTACTAGTGAACACCAGAAATGGGCTTCACACCAGCATGTAGTAACACTGATGGATGGTGTGTGTCCTGATTGAACAGGTTACACCTGATTGTGACACAGGCCAACATGTAGTAACACTGGTGGATGGTGTGTGTCCTGATTGAACAGGTGACACCTGATTGTGACACAGGCCAGCATGTAGTAACACTGGTGGATGGTGTGTGTCCTGATTGAACAGGTTACACCTGATTGTGACACAGGCCAGCATGTAGTAACACTGGTGGATGGTGTGTGTCCTGATTGAACAAAAACCTTTTCTGCCAGCAAATGTTAGAGAAAACATGTGCTGGTATCTGTCAGCTAATATTTCAATAATAGTTACAAAGGGTCCAGAGGTGGGTCCAAGCCATCAAAATAGGGCATGGACCAATTGCACGTATGGGAACACTAGCACGACAGACGATAGACTGTAAGACAATCTGGCAGCAGTGTGTAGTGTAGCCAGTCAGGAGTATCAACCAGGGTAAACAGCAGGCTGAGATGAGAGTGGCCTGGCGTACACAGATCAGCCCTGTTTGGGGCTGCTGTCAGATGGAGAATACATTACGACATTGTTTTTATGGTATTTTGGTTTATTATGCCCAGAGGTTGGCCAAGCCAGATGTCAAACATATGTCAACTAAAGCTGGGAGATTACTGATCAACTTGCCATGTCACGCTGGCTGTTTCAAATATGTACACTTGCAGTATCAGATTTTAGAGAAGACAACTCTGGTGCACACTGATAAAACGAACACAGGATGTTTCGTTTTTCAAAATGTTTGTTTTCAACTCATGTCTAATGGCCATAATCACCACATAAAACTATTTGTTGCTTTATTTGAAGCTAAGAAACTACTATAAAACTATTTGTTGCATTGTTAATCGTGAACCATAACTAGAACACTGCAAGATAGAAAACACACAGTGTCTACTTGACAAAACTAAGAGTGAGTTATCACAGACTCATAATTGAACTGGGAAGAAGAGCAAGACCACCTACACCTTTGGAGGACCGTCTCTGTGATCAATGCTTAGTCCTTGGGGATGAATGAGTGAGCGAGATGGGTTTTACGCTGCTTTTGGCAATATTCCAGCAATATAACGTTGGGGGACACCAGAAATATAAACAGGATTACATATTCCACCTACATACAATACATTAACTGTATATTCTTGCTATCAATACAAATAATCATTTAAAGCTAGTTGAAAATTTTGTCTTAAATACTTCAAACCAAGATGAATTTTACAAATTCCAAGTCAAACCTACACACCTACAGATTCAAGGTAACCTACCCTAACCCTTAAAGAAAACTAACCCTAAGGATCCAAAAGGGGTGTTGGATCGGAAAGGGGATCCAAGGGTTAAGGATGCAGTTGGGGGTGACCTACCCTGGCCCTGATATAACTAACCCTAAGTATCGGAAAGGGTATGGCATTAATGAGTAATACATATAAAAGGTGAAATTATGGATGTCAATTGTTTTTACTATGAGAAACACTACATATAATCTTACTGTTTCATCGGGTGAATGATTACTTTACTATGAGAAACACTACATATAATCTTACTGTTTCATCGGGTGAATGATTACTATGAAGAAAAACCCCAAACAAAACCATGCCAACACCTCATCATGAAAGAGAGATAACCATCACAGAAGCTGACCAAGGCATGTAGTCATGAACTCCCCAGGTTTCCTCCAGCTCGTCAACCACACCCTCTCTGACACCACCACCACCACCACCACCACCTACCTCACCATCCAGAAATACCCCACTGCCAAACTAGGAACTCAACACAAGAAGACCTAGACTTACAACTAGTCTCTGAAATGAACACATTTAACAGAAAAAAAAAAAGGCTCATAGTGAAAAAAAAAATCAAAATATAATGAAAAGGTGCCGAGAGGCGCTCTTCATTTTCAGAGACTAAACAAATCTGCAGAGAGATAATTTACAATGGTTCTTATCACCCACTACTGCTGAAATTGTTTGTGACAGGAATATTTATTGCCCCACCACCTCCTAGTCCTACTGTCAGTGGTGTGGGCAGTTTTAATAATGAGTATCAAGTGTCGCCAAATCTATTTTGAGAGCAAGCAGGGGTACCAGCTAAGAGAAGCATATCCTGAATTCCTATGGCTGGACAACTGGATCTCACAAAAATTCCAAAATTACTTATATTCTCCAAAATCCCAAAGGTTCTGTCTGCACTATATGTGGAAGTTTATTTGATGTTGCATCGAACAGGTGAAAATTTCTTTTTTATTGGAAGTACTAAGACAGAGCCATGTCTTCTGATCGAAAAATGTTCACAGGGAATGTTCTACACATACTGTGTATAGAAAATGTTTAGGTGAGGTCACTCGTGTGGACAATACTTTGTGCCTTTGAAAAGAAATCTGTAAATAATGTATACTATTACTACCAATCCTGTGGAACTGAAGAGAAAAAGATGTACAGTAGGATTCCAATAGTATTTCCTTATACCTTAGAGACCTTAGATGTTGGTATGCATTACATACTAATAAACAATGGTTTTCTTCAATATATCATTCTTTGCACACAAGACATAATCTATCAACTTAAGTTTCTTTAACATATCTGTCAGTTTCAGTTCAAGAAGAACATCTAAAATTGAGCAAACGCGGCCTTGAATTTTGAAATTGTGAGTTCTTTGATATACAATCCTAAGCCAAATGATGATTGAAACGAAATATAGATGGAATATTTAGTGCTGCTATCGAAGGCTGCATGCCAAAATTGCTCCTAAAATAAGTCTGTATACAAACACCGACATAACATTTTTAACACTAACTACACATTGTTCCTCTCAAAGATAGCAAAATCCATGCATGTAGATAATGTTTGATTTTAGCGTGACCCAGTTAGTTTTAACCTTGATACAATCTAGAACCAATAACTTGTAACATTTTTCACACAAATCTCGTATCAGGCATATTGCATATTTTACACCAATAAGCAACGGCCCTTTATAAGTAAAACTATACACTGGATAACGTCCACATTCTCCCAAGCATCGTTTATGTGCAAACATTTGTAAAATTTCAACTTCTTTAAAATTATGTAAGCCCCATATTTCCGATCAATAGAGGAGAATAGGGCTAATTTTAGAGTAAAAAATCTTAAAAATAGATCAGATGGCAATTGATTAAGTGTATGTAAAGATTTAAGTACACTATACAAAATGTTTTTTCACTAAAGTCATGGATAAAGTCACAAATGCCGACATTGTTGAGGTACACTGCTTTGAGCCTAATGATTTACATTTCCCTGTTTTTTTCTTCATCATGGCAATCAAGGGTGACACAACAATGACAGTAGCATGGCTTGTATTTTCTACTGACTTGTATAAATAGTGAGAATTTCGAATGTCAGTGATTTTCCAGTCCTGGTGGGAGAACAAAATAACACATCTTCACCACTTAAGTACAATGGACAAATGCTATGTATATTTGCTTTCATCCTCATCAAAGTTCCAATTCATTTTTATCCTGAGATGGAAAACATTTCGAAATCATCCCCTCTCCTCACCAGTGTAAAATGAAACAGTAAAAGCAAAAACTCAGATTTTGTAAGTCATCAAGGTCTCTAGTGTAATGACACATGTTGTTTGTCTGGAGTGAGAGGACAGGGCAGAAGCAGGAGGCCTTGGCTCAGCGTGGGGTCTTGGGGAGTGGTGGGGGAGGCTCCCATGAGTTAATACTAAACACTAGTGACAGCTAGATATCAACTGATAATTAAAGCCCTGTGCTAGCTTGTGAATTCAGCAGATTGGTACAGACCTTGAAGCTGTGGAAATCTACACTTGCCACATTTTCTAGACTTGCGCGGGATTTCTTGGATATATTTGCTTCAGGGTCTGTATAACAGACTAAAGAAGACCCTGAAAGATCTTCACCAGCAAAGAAAGAGAAATGATGCCACCTTCATCCAGCAACATACGCTAAGATACAGCCATAATCAAGATACACAAGCACCCACCCAAAGCCAGAATACTTGTATGCTGCAGAGGATATATTTTCTATAAAACCACTCAGTTCCTTTCCCGCCTGTTAGCCCTTCAAGCAAAGATGGAAAGTCCCACATCAGCGAATCCTCCACATTGGATAACCTACTGAAAGAAGCAAATATCACAGGCACAATGGTCATCGACCTGTTCACCAACATATTGCTACTAGAAGATGGCGCAACAAGCTACAAACCAGAACAGACTACCTAGACACCACACACACACTACAGAAAGCATCCTCAACATTGAGTCCAGCTGCTGTCACACCTCCTACAATAACTTCAGTATGACCTGCACACAAATACATGCACTGTCTACGGGTTCCCCTATATCCACTCATCACTGAAATCAGCCCTCTCCCTCGCCCTCTCACAGCACCATTCAAACCCCTCTGTTCGAACCTAAAGACAGAGGACACCTTCACTACTACACCATTGGGCACAGTGAGAGGAGGTATAAAATGGCCTACCCTGCACAATCTTCCCTCTCAGGGGCTGGGAAGAGTTGTGTCCGGAGGTTGTGTCAGTGGCGGCACTGTCATCTCTGTCAGGGTCTGCAACAACATCCAACACAATGAGCACAACTAACTAGCAGCCAAATAAACAAATATAATTTGGCATTGCTCTAGATGTATTAATGCTCTGAAACCATCGATGGTAACCAAAACCACTGATTATGTTTGTTTTCTGGGAAATTTAGATATGAAGATGTACTGTCAATGAAAGTGATATTTTTCAAGGTCCCATGATGTTGACATAATTACAGAACTGTTACCAAGGTTACAATGTTCTGGCAACACAGAGTGACTGATACAAAGTACATATCTGGCTGTTAAGTTAAGCATTTATTAAAAATAGATGTCAAATGACGATACAGTGAACTTTGTCATGGGAGTAAGGAGCCAGTGGGGAGCCAGTCGGGAGCCAAGGGTACCAGGTTGTATGGCATCCATTCAGCAGCGCTTTGGAACAAAGACCAGTAACTTGATTAGTGAACAGAGCAATGAACAATGATCACAAACTGCAGAGTGTTTTTAATTGAATGAATCCAATACACGTGATCATGTAGCCTGTGTATTTATTTTGATTTTCTACTCATTCCTGGGTAGACTTGACATAGTTGGCACATGGAACCCATAACAGGTAGTAGCTGCAATAACAGACACTAAACGGAAAGAATGCCATGCACTTAACCATTACCAATGTTCCGTATTTTAAGAAAAGAAATTGTGTTGTACACTTCAGCATTAATTTGCTCGATAACATACATTTTACATCCATACATGAACAACATGTGAAATGTTTAGGTTAGGCAGGTTATTTTATATATATAATGTAGATATACCTACAAATGATATGGGCCCTCATAAAAAGGACAAAAGTAGACATTTCTCGTTGCTTTGTCGCATCAACTACTTGGGGAATATTAGCCGGAGCAATTAATCAGTAGACTCCTGAAAAAACCAAAGCAAAGACGAAACTCAAAACAATGAAGCGCTCGTAAAATAACTTGGGCACTCATCATCTTAACAGTAAGAAATACGTTGTTGGAATCTGAGACCACATATCCGTATATGGGTTACACTGTGCCATGGCGCCAATGTTGCTTCAATTATTATACACAGCAGAATACAACAAAGTCCCCTGCCTGCCTTCCTGCTTCATCGCCAGGAAAACATTTGGCAGAGAGGCACGAAAACAGGTGACACTGTCTTCCATGAAAGCGTGCACTAATGTCATGTACATGCTTCGTCCCTGTTTGAGCGAATGTCAGTGAACTCCGCGCCAGAAATATAAAATGTGGAGTGAAAGACATTGATATACTTACCTCCACACTGATGTGACACTGACCAGGGATGGCGTTGCAGACTGACTACAAGCCCTCCACCCTCGGTCAGCGGTGTGCTCCGCCATGCCCAGCTGATGGAGGTAAACATTGTCATCTGGTCTGTGATTGGTGCTTGCTGCTTGCTGCTTGGTGCTTGGGGCTTCCGGGTCAACAGGTGCCCAAAATGTACTGACATGTACTTGTTTTTGTATTTATTTCAAAGTCCAAAACGCGTTTGATATTAAGAAAATGTAAGAATTTTTTTTAAATAATTAAGTAATTTAAAGCGACTTTAAGAATAGACGTGATAGATGGCGTGGGTGATTGTTGGCTGTGTGCCAAGTGGGTCTGCATGAACAGCTGGCTGGGGGTGGAGTGTATTTTGAGAGGTGTCAATCAATGAGGATGGCTGGAGTACAACCTGACCATATATGGGAGATGAAAGAAGGCCATGCAGTGTCCCCTGAAATTAGGGTTGGAGTTTGTTTGCTTGCTTTTGTAGCCTTTGGTAGCTTTCGGTGGCTTTGGAAGCCATTGTAGCCTTTGACTTGCCGTTATTTGGTGTGTGTATCTGCTGGTTGCGAAAGACTAAAGAAGATGGTCCTGGCGCAAGGTTTCGGCCTGTTGATGATGCCGGCGAATGCGATTGGTCGATGTGTGGTGTTTAGGATGTTATTAGCGATGGCAGGGTTGTACAACGGGGTGCGAAAGTGCTTTTAAAAAACCCAGAGTGGGCATGGAATTCTACCTCTTCTGGCGCCGGTGTAGATGGTTCCGATCGGGGATGCCGATTTTGGTGCCCTGTCCAAGAGTTTTGGCCACGACTTAGGGCTATGTAATTTTCAGAGCCTAATATGGGCAGGAAAGCGCAGTCGCCCGATGGAATCGGTGGTAAACACGACTGCTTCCGGGTCAGGTTCTGAAATTATGCATGCATGTGACCCTAGAATTACTGAAAATATCGTTGGCACTCTTGTTGTAAATGAGACAATACTATTCCTTCATTCAATTTAAAGAAGATTTTTCATATTAAGAACTAGGTATGTCTCCAGTTCCAATTGTTTCCTCTGTTCAAGAAGCAAGACACCTGAAGCCCATGCTCTAAACGATGTAAAACTGTTTTGGGGACAGCTGGTTCTCCTATGCTGGAAATGAAGGGAACTCAGAATGTAACCGAGCCCCTGGACGAGGTAATGCGTTCTTTTAATAAACCACAATAAAGAACCATTCATAAGAGTTCATTGAACTTTAAACATACGAAGGACATTGACTCAACGTCATTAAGAAATGCCAATGAGTGTATTAGTCAAATTAGATAAACTATTATAATGTGAGTCGTGTTTTGTATTTTGTTGTGGGACCTACGGGAAAGCGTTATGAAACAATGACAACTGTAACCGAGTAGGCATGGCATAAGTGTAATGTTGAAAAGATATGCTGCCGGTTGAGAAAGAACAACATACGGCGTTTTAATCCCTCGTCGACATAAATGTGTTTTGAATGGGTGTGTGTTTTTATAAACACGTGGCTACTCTGGCTTTGCTGGCAGCATTAATGATACAGTCATCGTACGAAAGAACCTAATCCTTAACCCCCCTACCCACAACCCTGACCTAAACCCAACCTCCTCACCATAATTGAACCTGAACCTTACCTTAACACTCAACCTTCCCCTATCTCCCTCTCTCTCTCTTCCACCCCCCCTTCTCTCCCCCCCCCACACACACTTCCGGTTATGACGTCACTTCCGGGTCTGTCGGCACTTCCGGTTCTCCCTCACACTTCCGGTTCTATCGGCACTTCCGGTTATGACGTCACTTCCGGTTCTATCGGCACTTCCGGTTCTATCGGCACTTCCGGTTATGACGTCACTTCCGGTTATGTCGTCACTTCCGGTTCTATCGGCACTTCCGGTCATGACGCCACTTCCGGTTGTGACGTCACTTCCGGTTCTGTCGACACTTCCGGTTCTGTCGGCACTTCCGGTTATGACGCCACTTCCGGTTGTGACGTCACTTCCGGTTCTGTCGGCACTTCCGGTTATGACGGCACTTCCGGTTGTGACGGCACTTCCAGTTCTGTCGGCACTTCCGGTTATGACGGCACTTCCGGTTGTGACGGCACTTCCGGTTCTTCTTCTCAAAGGTGGTTTTAATAGGCGATTAGTCAAAAAGTGATCATTTGTTTGGTTGTTCCTTTGTTGTTTGTTGTTTAACAGGTACCATTGTGGTTAAAGCGTTCGTTAGTCACGCCGAAGACACGGGTATGTCACTCACTCATGTATGTATGTATGTATGTATGTATGTATGTATGTATGTATGTATGTATGTATGTATGTATGTATGTATGTATGTATGTATGTATGTATGTATGTATGTATGTATGTATGTATGTATGTAGTATGTATGTATGTATGTATGTATGTATGTATGGGGGCTGGTGTCGAAGTTATGCAGTAGTGTGGGTGATAATGCAGGATGTATCGAATCTTCATTAGGCTTAGTGTACGCAACCAAACGTTTCCACTAAATATACAACTTTATCGGACGTGCATGCAACACTGACACACCTTCTTTTCTACATTGTACTCATGGTAGCAGTGTGTAAAACTCTGATCATGTAAGCTTGGAAGGCTCACTGGCCCTTTGCGCCCGGACGATGTTATACAGTGTTGGACGTGATATACACAGTATCATAGGTACTGAATCAACAATAAATATATATTGTTTGTCCGATACTGCCGAGCGCGACATCATGAGTGCGTGCGTGCGTGCGTTAGCAAATGCATGTCTCTTGTTATAAACCATCATTGGCTCCTACTGCCGGCTGTTACTCTGATGGTGTCACCTTTCAGTATGTTTGGAGAGCAACCGTTGACGGAAATCATCTACCTAAGGGAATTCTTGATCTTTTTCTTTTTCTTTTTCTTTTTCTTTTTCTATTTACATATTTAGTTAACGTTCCCAATTTACCGTTGAGGATGTGGAGGCTGATGTGTATATACACCATCATTCAACAACAGCAAGTTAATATTAATTGATGCTGGTAAGTATTTCCTAACACCATGTGGCTGTGCTGTGCTGTGCTGTGCTGTGCTGTGCTGTGCTGTGCATATAGGTACTTTGGTACGCTCGTGAATGGATAAGGTGTAGTGTACAGGTTCGACCCGTGAACGAACACACCAGTGACCAGGCCACCGTCTAAAACTTGTTCCGTCGTTTTGAGAACGGCTCTTTTTCAGTATTATCTGGCGCTTCAGTCAGTTTGCTTGGCTGCCAGCTTGCAAACTGACTGAAGCGCCATATAAATATCAGAACAAGAGCCGTTCTCCAAACTACTCATGACCAGGTGAATCTCATCTCATCTCGCTTCCTACAGAGTGACCTGAACCTAATTGTGAGTTATACGCTTTGAGCATGCACCTTGTCTCATCATCATCATCATCATCATCATCATCATCATCATCATCATCATTATTATCATCATTTCTGACATGTGTGTTTGTCACGTAATAGTAAGTGTGGTAGGGTACATAGGCAGGAACACAGACCAGTGCTGCTCGGTTTTGTGGGTGTTCACCATCGCCTGTGTTCCAGCTTCAGCGCCGCATTGTGTGTGCGTGGTGTGTAAACCTATAAATGTCATTTGATCCGAAATTCTTTATCACAGCCACAGACACAATTCACTAGTTGTTCAGAATCAGATAAAGAATATGCTTTTGTTTCAGGGTGAGTGTGGATGAGATTGGTGTTTGTGCCTTGCCTTGCCTTGCCTTGCCTTGCCTTGCCTTGCCTTGCCTTGCCTTGCCTTGCCTTGCCGGGCCGGGCCGGGCCGGGCCGGGCCGGGCCGGGCAGGGCAGGGCAGGGCAGGGCAGGGCAGGGCAGGGCAGGGCAGGGCAGGGCAGGGCAGGGCAGGGCAGGGCAGGGCAGGGCAGGGCAGGGCAGGGCAGGGCAGGGCCCTAACGTATTGTATTGTATTGCATTGCATTGCATTGCATTGCATTGCATTGCATTGCATTGCATTGCATTGTATTGTATTGTATTTTATTGTCAGGGACTCACCCATACCTATACATGCAAGTGGTGTCCTCTCTCAAAGTTATTTTTTAAAACATTCTGTTTAATGCCAAGGTGCTGATCAGGAGAGAATTTTAAAAAGCGTTCTCTTTTCACCAATTGATTTGTATGCTGACAAATGAAAATTAACATAATATCACTTTTATGTGTATATTTACATGCTGAATCGTAGATTGTGTGTATCATTGTGAAAGGACGCTTGCCTGAGTTCAGTTCAATGTATATCATAGTACATACACAAACGTTACTAGTAGACAACCAATAGGATATTAGTAGTTAAAATCCGTATGGGGGATGTCATGATACGTTAATAGCATTTCCTTCTTGGCTGGCCCTTAAAATATTAGCTTGCATCGTATGAACGAAGGGACATGACTCTTACAACCATCAGATTTTCGAACTATCAGGATCAGCCAATGTGGAGCTTTACCCCCTGGACGCGGAGGGTTTTTTCAGGCGCACACTTTCATACGGTTTGAAAAGTGATCGTTGTGCGATAATTGCGCTCGCGTGGTCCTGGATCTACGTACGGCTATAAACTTACACAGAAATGTAGAATATTACATTTCCTATCCGATGGTATAAATATAAGTGCAACTACCTCGGCGGTTTGAGAAATAGACCTTGCAAAATGTTGTCCACGTTTTTGTTATGCGTTAAAAAACAATAACTTTCTCCGCTTTTTATCGCGCACCGATCAAAACACTATGCTACGATTTTTTAAATTTGGCATCTTTACGGTGAGCGAAGAAAATACAGCCTGATATCTGAACGACATAAGTGTATATGAATTGGGTTTATTTGCTTATGAATTGGGTTTTATTTGCTTATGCATGACGTTATACGTTCAACATTAAAAATGACTAGCAATAAATGTCAAAAATGGATTTACTTCTATGAAGTCAAACGACGACAGAGGCCATACACGCATGATGATAAGGGGGCATAACTCCGTTATGCTTAACACTAGGCCAATGTAACTCAGATCACATGGAGAGAATTCGTTGTGGATTCGGGCGCTATATTTTCGTTATTTTTTCAATTCAAAGTTCCCCAATGTCAGCGGATACGCTTT